GCGCGGGCCGGGCCTGCGCCGCCGCCGCCCCCGACTATGTCGGCGGCCAAGGAGAACCCGTGCAGGAAATTCCAGGCCAACATCTTCAACAAGAGCAAGTGTCAGAACTGCTTCAAGCCCCGCGAGTCGCATCTGCTCAACGACGAGGACCTGACGCAGGTGAGCAACCGGGGCGGGCGCCGCGGGGGTCGTGGCCCAGGAGACCTGGTCCTGCGCTGAGACAAGCCCCGAGGCGGGCCGGGGGCGGTGGCGCCTGCGAAGGCCGCGGGGAAAATGAAAATGGAGCAGAAAAAAAATGTGCGTGAGTGCTGGGGGAGGGGACTGCAGATGGAGGGGGACGGGAAGAGCCTTGACAGAGCCGGTACAAAGGGAAAATCCTCAAGTATGCCGAAAAATAACATCCTTTCCCGTTCCCATACCCTTGCCGTGTGATTCATGCTTTTTGGGTGACTCAAAAATGTCTAGTTTTTCTTATTTGGAACAAAGCGCCTGGGGGTTGCTTACTGCTTGGCAGGACCCCCTTCAGACTCTGTCATAGGGCCAGACTCAGACTTGTCCACCAGAGTGGCCCAGGGCTTGTCTTGTCTGGATGGACCACGGGCTTCTGTCTTGTGGGACTGAGCCTGCCCTTCTCAGTCGTTGTCACAAGGAGGGTCTCCAGGTCTGGGAGAGTGTTGCTCGTAAATGTAAGCCAGAGGGGCTGCTCTCCCTTTCTTTCTTTCTGTCTGTCTGTCTGTCTGTCTGTCTTTCTGTCTTTCTTTCTCTTTCTTTCTGTCTTTCTTTCTGTCTGTCTTTCTGTCTTTCTTTCTTTCTATCTTTCTTTCTTTCTGTCTCTTTCTTTCTTTCCTTTCTTTCCTTTCTTTCCTTTCTTTCTTTCTTTCCTAGTTCTGTAGTCCCTGGCCCTGGAGGTGAGGAGATCTGTGGGTACTGGGAAAGTTGGTTCGTTCCTCCGGGTCTTACTGGTAGTTGAGGGCTTTGGACTAGTTTAGTAGCTCCTGAACCTGCCTGAGAGTTGCAAACATCAAAAACACAGTCCTGGGCCCCCACCCGGGAGTGATTTAGGAGAGGAGGGGATTTGTGTTGGGAAAGGTCCCCAAGGTTTGACTGCAGTCCCCACTGCCTTTGGAAGCTCCCCCCTCACACCCCTGCTTTCCAGGCTGATTGCTTTCTGAGCTCCTGGTGTTGAGAATCCAGAGGATCCTTGGGTTGTACCTATGCACCCTCCTCTCCCTGTTCCCCATGCTCCAGTCTCATCAGTTTTCTCTCAACTCCTTGCAGGAGGCCAGGAAAGCACCCTTCATATTCCACTTTAGTGTGACCCATTTGTACCACTCTTGCAAAAAAAAAAAAAAACCAAAACAAAACAACAAAACACAAAACAAAACAAAAACCCCAAACAACACAAAACAAAAAACCCTTAGACAAACACATTGCTTTGAAGTGTCCTAGCCTGGCTGTTTTTAATGCCACTTAAGTACAAGCAGGGTTTGACTTGTTTACAGGGCAGACTGGAGTGGGGAGACGGGGCAGGGCTTATGGCCTGGGACATGGTGCCTTTCTCTGAGGTCAGGTTTCCAACACAACGGAAAAGATCCAGAACCTTAATCAAATTCTCAAGATCTCAAAGTCATAGATTGTGAGGACACCATGGGCCTTAGAGACAGCTTAAGTACAGAACTCACAAGGTGTTCTTGAGGGTAAGGGGTGGGCTTTTAAGAAAGAAAAACTCAAATCTTTTCTCATCTGCATGCTTTTTTTTCTGGGGAACAGTTTGTGTGTTGAGAAGCTGGGAAAATTTCCTAGTCTTGGCTGTCACTTTAAGTAGTGTGACCTTGAGCAAGGGGAGGGGGGGGTTACTTCTATTTAAATTTCCTTATCTGTAAATTGGTGATAGTGATCCCTGGCTCGCTTCCACCAAACAGCTGTTGTGAGAAGCAAGGAATTATATTTTATTAAAATTTTTCCTCTTGCAGTTAAACAAACAAAACCAAAAAAATAGCCCACAGAATAGTCAGCTTTGATTTAACAAGTTTTTGGACTTGGCAAAGGGCTGTTTTAAGAGAGCTTTGTAAGTTTCCTGGTTCTTTTAAGCAACTGCCAAAATTTGCAAATTTGGTATTTATGCCACATAGGGGCGGGTTTTCTGATTTTTAAGTTTAGATAAACTACAGTGGAATCTGCATGTTTTGAGTCAGAACTGTTTTTTTTAAAAAAATCTGTTGGTTATTAATTGGATTCAAGGGGAGAGGCAAATATAAAATACTGTAGTCTTTCACAGTATTCAAAGTTGAATTCTGGATTTTAAAACAGGCCTGAGACCTCCAGGGCAAAACTGGAATGGTAGTTTTTGAAATAATGAGTGGGGTTATTTGTGCTGGAAGAGATTAGCCTAGCCTTCTACCTCCTGGGATCTTTCAGGAAGAAACTGCTCTTGAAATGAGAGGAGGGAGACTCAGGGCTGTTGCCAGCAGCCTTGCTGCTGCTCTCTGCATCCGGCCCTCCCCCACCCTTTTGCTCTCATCCTTCTGTCTCCATTAGAAAACCTCAGCCAATTGGTTCCCATCAGTCTGCTCCCAAGCCCCTACTTCCCGCTGTCCCTCCACGCCCTGAGCTTATTTTAGACTGTCCCCATAGATCTTCAGTGATCATCAAGGCCACCTCTTCACTAGGCACCAACACCAACCCAAAGGGGCAGGACAGCTTTGTGTCTTTCCTCTTGGGATGTAGTCTTCCCAGAAGCTGGCATTCCTCCAGCGTTCTGATTTAGGCTTTATTTCTTCAGCTGTGGGTTTTGTTTGTTTGTTTTTCTCAAAGAGAGGTACAGTAACTTTTTCCAGGGCCTGCTTTGTCTTGTGGCATCAGATCTGGAAGGGACATGGAGATCAGCTAATCTAACCACTTCCTTTTACCAGTGAGAAGACTGAAACTTGGAGAAGGGGAGCGACTTTTTCATTGCAAGGATGGCCAGAATTCTTAAACCACATTTATTTCTCTGTTCTGAGTCTACAAGGACATTCCAGGGGCCACATCATGAGGAGAGTAGTGTCAAAGATGGTTATGTTGCAGAAGGTGCTCAGGAATGCTGTTTTTGGAAAGAAGAGTTCCTTGCCTTCTCCTTGTCACTGGAATTCACAGTGATTTGGTATAAGTAATGAGCTGGAGTCCAGTATTACTGGTCATTGAATCTTGCAGTTCCAGGCCCTTTGTTCACAGGGTGCTGTTTTTTTTTTCAGTCCTATACATTCCTCTGTGTACACATAAATTCAAATATACATTTAAACCTTTTAAGACCTGAACTGTGTGCAATATTTGCTCTGCAAATGATTTCTCCCCTCTGCTTAACAATATTTTAGAGTTCTTTTCATGATGTTACATACAGATATGGTAAGTTGTTTTGCATGTGCTGTTAACATAACCCATGTCTTATGGATGGACATTGAGGTTACTGATGAGTTCTGCTGTTATAAATAGTGAAAGCTTCAGGCAAACGGCTTTATAAATGCTTTTGGGTGTGTGCTTGTGAGCACGAAAGCAAGTATTTCTCTGGAGCAGATACCTAAAAATAGAATGGCTGGGTTGACATCAAGTGCACTAGATTTTTTTTTAAAGATACTACCAAATTGCCTTCCAAAAAAGGCCGTGTCATAACATTTCCAGGACTGGATATTATGAAATGATTTAATTCTTTAATAATTACCAGTGAGGTTAAGCCTCTCTACAATATTTATTGAAGGGTTGTTTTTTTTTTTTTTGGTAGATTACCTGTTTCTGTTGTTTGGCTGTTTTTCTGTTGCGTTAGTTCTCCCCCACCCCTGATTTGTAGGGGCTTTCTATATAGTTTGGGTCAGAGGTCTTCAAACTTTTTCTATAAAAAGTAAGATAGCAAATATTTTAGCCTTATGGTCTCTGTGGCAACCATGAAACTTGGTCATCATGGTGCAGAATGAGTTGTAGACAATGTATAAACAGGTATATGTTCCCATAAAATTTTATTTAGAAAAACAAGCAGCTGTCTGGATTGGGCCAGAGCATAGTTTGTCCAGCCTTTTCTAGATAGTAATCTGACACTCGTCATATATGGCCAGTAGCTTTTCGAAGTGTCAGTTGTCTCTTTACCTGTGGTTAGTTTTCTTTTTCACGTGGTAGGTTTTAAATGAATGCATTTGGGGCTGGGGATGTAGTTAAGTGATAGAACATTGGCTTAGCATGTGCAAGGTCCTAGGTTGAATCCCCAGCACCAAAATATTATAAAATACAATGAATGCAGCTGAATCTCTGTTTTCCTTTATGGTTTATAGTTTTAATCTCATATGTAAGAAGGGCTTTTTGTCAAAATTTATTAAATAGTCTCTAATACTTAGTTATTTTACAGTTATATTTATGCATAGCTTTAAAAATTTATCAGACTTGTTTTTCAGGAAAATCATGCTGCTAAAGGCAGAACTGCTAGAGATCATGAAAGTAATCCAGGTAGTTGGCTATAAAGGTCTTTTCCTCTAGATCAGTGCTGGGAGGCCCTGGGAATAGTGTTGTGGGTGTCCAGGATGTCCAGGTGGATAGCAGTATCTTGAACAGAGATTGAGAACAGATTTATAGCAGGAGTTGAGGAGGGGTCAAAAATATGATGGTAAGTTTGACCTTGTGAAGGTGGATGTCCAGTGTAGTTTAGGAGGAATCACCCACTCAGTCAGTAGGAGATAGTGGTTAGTGCTCAGGTGAAAATGGGGCTGGGAGTCCTTTATGTGGAGGTGGTTGCTAAATTCATGGGAATGAGTGTTATCACTTAGGAAAGAGCCAGTGGAGGGAACCTCCACGTGGTAGATCGGCAGAAGAGGGGGAGCTGTGAGGGAGGCTGAGGTGTAGATCAGAAAGGGCTGGTGATTAGAAGGAGAAGCAAGTCGGGGCTTCAGGGCCCTTAGCATCAGTGTGGGGCTTCAGGGTACCCAGTTATTCTTCTGCCTCTCTGTGGAAGGAGCCACTGTGTTCAAACTCTAGTGTTTCGTCTTTCTCTGCTTCGTTGATGGGACCTAGACTGGATCTTTTCCTTCCTCAGGCCTCAGTTTCCCCATCTGGAAATGAGGTTGGGCTTGATTTCTCCTAGGCCTCTCAGTTCCTCTGATATGATATTGCAATGGCTGCTGGAACCACAGTGGCACAAG